TCTGTCAGATTTCTGAATTTACTTTTGAGGCTATGTTTATGTTTTGAACCAATCGATATCGATACAATCTCACCCGTTTGATGTATCGAATACGATCTATAATCTTCTCGAAATTACTCGCACTCAGGTCCTTCTTTTAAAATTTCGCACGTGATCCGTGTTTCACTGGTTCCACCTCCGATCGCCAACAGTGGCGTGGCGTGCTTTGCGACATATCGATAGATCTGTCATTCAAACTTATGTTAAAGGATCGATTAGCAGGGTGTTCGCAGCGAACACCTCAATAATCGATTCTTTACCATAGCTTCAAATGAGAAATATCGATAATCGATCATTCACGCCACGCCACTGATCGCCGACGTGCGGGCGGAAGTTATTTCGAGTTGGGTCCTGGAAGTCGGTCGTCGAGGGCTGTAGAAAAAGGGACGCGTCCGCGTGCGAATTATTGTGGCGCGAAAACTCATTGGCGTGATAAGAAGGAGACGAGTCACAAAAATTACGACTCGCGGCTGGGAACCGCGGCCCGCGAAAATAATTGCACTTTCGAAGCGACCGATAAACGCGAGCAACTTGCAGTGTTGCCGCTGTCGCGGGTTTAAATGTGGTTAGTGCCGACAGGGTGGCATGATTCGTAAGAGAGAAATGAAGGATTGGAAATTTCAGTGAAATATTCTACGAGGCTGTGAAATATTTCACGAAATTTAACGAGGCTGTGAAATATTTCAAGAAATTCCACAGGGCTGTGAAATATTTCACGAAATTTAACGAGGCTGTGAAATATTTCATAAAATTAAACGAGGCTGTGAAATATTTCAAGAAATTTCACGAGGCTGTGCAATATTTCATATTTTTTGGGGGCTAGAGTATGCAACCCGCAGTCAAACACACAAAAATAGAAGAAAATCACAATTTTCACATTTTGCCAAACGTTGTATGAGACATTGTATGAAATATTTCACGTGAAATTTCAAGATTTTATTTGTCATGAAATTTCGCTGCACTTGGTGCCGAATACGCACTCGTAAAGGTTGCATTCCTTTTACAGTGTGAGTTATAACGATTGGAATTCATCTCTGATTGGAATCCGTTTTGTCCACTTCTAGCTGGCTCTCATAGCGTAAAAAACGGGCAGAAATATTATATTTTCACACGTTGTAATGCTCGACTAGCAATGACTATGGCTGTTAAAGAGTACATTCCAAAACTCCAAAGAATTTGCCGCAGCAGCATTGCTGCATTGTTACGTACTGCCACCTAAGTGCTGTTACAGCCAGCATTGATACCAGAAAGGAAGCTTTGTGATGAAGAGCGGATTTTGGATTAGGTCTGAAATCCAAAATACTATTTGCAGGCACTGCATTCCTTTTTCTCCGTAGAAGCTATCTCTCATCAAAAACTAAACATCCGATTCCTCGATTCAATTCGGCAAAAAATTCCTTACCCGAACTATTTGCCCTTAGCGATATCAATTTTAGCTGTGAATTTTTCTGTGAATAGTGACGGACGGGGTTAATTGCACTGCCTAATGACCAATCAAAGGGAGATGTATTAGCGAAGCTCCAAGTTCGTGACGAAATTATCGCGCGGTACAATTTTTTTGATTACTAATTTCCAGAAACTTTGGGTGCCTGTTTCAAAGGTAATGTAGATTGCTTTACGTAAATTGAAAAGAAAGAAACCGCAGTGTTGCAAATTTTCAAGGAATATCACTATTCATGGAAAAATAGAGAACGGTGGCAATTTCATATTTGCTTTCAGTCCTGAATATACTTTCATTTTGTACCAGCGAGTATAAGTCTTTTAACTACAATTTCCACAGTTTAAAAGACCAATACAGTCTGAAGGGTTGCTCATAAAATATGTCTCGCTAAATTTTCGATTAATTGACTCCCCCTCCCCTCAGAACGCTTTTGTGACGGAGGTAACTTTTGCTGGTTCCAAAACGTTCAAATACTCTGTGATTCCTGAACTTTTCCCTGACATTCTCTGAACTTTCATTGAAATATTTACTTATTCGTATATTCTTTTAATTACGATAACTTTTGCTATACTTACGATAAAATTACCACTTCTAAGAGCTCAATTTATGAAAAGAGTACTAAAAAGTTGGTAGCGCCCTCGATTGGCACGGCTAGAATTGCCGAGCCGACCATTCGCGGGACACGATAATGATCAGTGTTTGAAACACACGCCAGCCAAAAAGCAATTTGCCGGCAAGAAATCGCCTTTGGCCGGTAAGAAATAAAACTAGTGGCCAAGCCTAGGCCGCTAAGAAAATCGTTGTTACATTCCGTTTTCGGGATTTTTTAGCGCATCCTGCAAGGTGCAACGTCGTGTCGTGTTATCAATTCTTCCCTCTCGTCTTCGTCAAGTTTCGTGACACATCGGGTCTTGTCGTAACATTGCTTTTCATTTTGGCCTCTAAGAAATCTGAGATGAAAAAATACTTTCTCTACCCGCAAAGGAAGCGAGAAAGTGAAAAGTTGCAAGCCAGATGGCTGCTAAGACTTCACGCCGAATTTCAAACACTGATGATAATCGACTGTCGATATTATCCCATTTGAAGACATGGCACAGAATCGATTAGGATGTTCGTTTCGAAACTCTGATAATCGATATTTTTTCATATGTTTGAATGGGATATCAATCGATACACCGCAAAGCACGTCACGTCACTGGAGCCGATTTCCTATTCGCAAAATTTCCTATATCTTCTCAAACTAGTCCCCATGGTATCGGTTGAATCTCAAACGGAAAACCAAAATGCCACTGAAAAAAAAAAAATCTCAGTGTATTTACTAAGAAAAGGGTAAAATTACCAAGAATTCAGGGTTCTGGTTCTTATGGAATTGGTAATTTTACCGAGAAATCTCGGTAAAATTATTGGACTTTCTCGGTAATTTTACTAGACCTTGGTAGAAACGCCAATATTTTTCATCGACTGTGGTAGAATTACCGAGATAAAATGGCAAAGTTACCGGGAATTGATTACCAATAAGAGTGGTACTCTTACCTGAAAAAACAGTAAAAATACCGGTTTTTAAGTAAGCTTACCCGTCTGTCTTGGTAGATTTACCAATAATTGGTAAAAAAAAGTGAGATGGTAAAGGTACCAACAGACCCTGGTAAAAACGCCGACGATTTTTTTTCAACTTTTTCGAGGAAAAATACTTCTCGCCTACACGAGGTTGCAACAACCATTGCAACGCTGCAATAATGAAAGCCGCGTGAACTGCATCATTAAACCGAGATCCTGAAAGAAAACATCTTGGGGAACGTAAAAATGAGCAGCGTGAGGCGAAACCCTAATCCAGAGATGACCCCTCAACTGCATAAAAGCGCACCATCGCCACGTCCCATCCCTAGATACAAATCCGCACAACGGTACTCCTGTCAAAAACAGCGTAACTCCACTGGAAACCCAGCTTTCATGAGTTGTTTTCGCTGAGCGCGGCGGTCAACGCTGTCCAAATGAACGTTTTTCTACCAAATGGAACTATGTGCATCATGACGTGAGCCCTGTTATGCATTATATTCTCATTGACCTCAGGGCTTATGTCTGAATGCACATAGTTCTGTTCGGCGGAAATACGTCCAGATAGGAGCGCGATAAAATGCGAGAGCAACTGAAAGTCCCGTGCCAATTCGCGACAGTTTAGACAGCGTGATTAGATTTCGCGGCTCGACCGACGCAAGGGCGTGACTGCCCATCGGGATGAGCCCGGAAAAGCGTTGAGTTGTACGGGCAACAGGGTTCATCTGGAAGTTCGGTTGAGCCCTGTTGCGGGCCGAGCGGCGTTTTGACCGCGGAGTAACGGTCGGATTAGCCCGATCTCCTTGGCAACTCAAACTCGCGCCGTGTCCGGAAACTTTGAGGTCGGGGCCCGAAACCGCGGCGGTAATCTTGGTCGAACTTCATCATCCGTTCCAGTTATTGGCACGAATGCCGACGTTCGTGATCGAAAGCTCCGGATTCGTAGAAGACGTTTGTGGATGGAATCCAGTGGCGTGGCGTGCTTTGCGATACATCGATTGATGTGTCTTTCAAACCTATGGAAAAGGATCGATAAACAGGGTGTTCGCAGCGAACGCCTTGACAATCGATCTTTTACTATGGGTCCAAATGGAGGAATATCGATAATCGATCATTCACGCCACGCCACTGGTGGATGGAATCATCGCGAGCCCGGGGAGGGGGGAGGGTGTTTACGATTTGTGATCGCTCACGGGAAAAGGGATTTAAGTCCGCGCAGGAAAAATTTTCTATGGAGGAATTTGTGTCAAATTGGAGTTATTTATGGTAAATGGAACTATGATGTGAAAGAAGAAATATGGGGTGTGCTTGTTAGTTGAGGGCCATTCAATGAATGGGGAATTTAAAGCGTCAGTAACGTCAGCGGCAACGATCGAGGCCGCACGAAGAAACGGGTTTAGGGTCGGGACCTGCGGCGCAGGTGCACCAACAAGAATCGATTATTTATCATAGTTTTACATGGAGGAAATCCGGGGTTGCTAAATTTCTGGATCCGCCTCTGGTGCTGATACTTCTAATTTAATTGTATCTGCTTTTTGATGTTCAATCACGGAAAATGCCGTGAAAGAGAAGCTTCCTTTCGCCTAGCTGTAAAATTCAACAAAAATTACTAATTTCAGAATTGAATATAGAGAACAAATAGCAAAAAGTTGTTGAGCTGTATCGAGGAAGAATAACGGCGATTGGATGACATGGAATCACTTCCAAAACAAATCGGTGATAAAAATTCAGGGTTCAATGGTGAATTTATTAGGAGCGGCTCACTTCTTCATCATTGCCTGAATAATAATGCACAGTAATGTGAGGGACAAAGTAGATATGGCAAGTTACTTTTCGATATTTTTCATTTTTTGAAAAATAGAATCTCTTGATGGCGTCAGAGGTGAAATAACGCGTACATCTGTTTTCAGAAAACTACGCCGGAGCATTTCAGTGGCAGCGGAAATCAAATTGGAAAAATGACATTTCACCATCCAGGTTCATCGTTTCATCATGCATGTTCTCGTGCATCTCGCTCAGCATCTAGAAGTGTTGTGACGATTCGCATCTTTTGTTCACGTCTTGTGACCGTAGTGCTCACGTATCAAAAAGTTTAACTTCGAATTTCCTCCACGGAATACAAATTAAAGTCGGTGGAAATTTCTAACCGACGTCAGTTCGTTTTTTCGAGGGTAAAAAACACGCGCGCTTCGAAATCCAGACGGTGTTGAAAAAATCACTCGGTCGCATGCTGTTATCACGTGAATAGGTCTATTGTTTTCATTAATTTTTAATCAATTCTAAAGGAATCGATTAGAAGTGATCGCTGATTGGTCAGACGAAGGTGACGCGGAAAATGGTAAAGATAACATGGTAAATATAATCGCTCTTTAATTTTCACCTAGGTTTAACCTCATAACTTTTTTCTTGAACATGTTTCAGGTACGTGAGACAAGAGGATAGAAGTGTTGGAAACTTTTAATATTCCGAGGTGGCGTAGCTGAATAGCTCTTTCCGAAGAGGAAAACCGAACTTCGAAAGGAGGGGGGGGGGAAGATTCCAAAAAACCGGGAAAAAACTGAATTCAGCCGAGAATTTGCAGTGAATAGAAACTCTTTCGCTGCTAGGCCTTTAGTCAGAAATGAAACTTTTTTGTCCTTAAAAGTACAACTACAACGTTTCTAAACAACGGAGTTAGGCACTATTCAAAAGGAATACGATTTGTACCTATCTCTCAAATGTGAAATGGAAAAAAAAGAAAAAAACGAAATAAAAACTTTCTTCCAATAAAACGGAATATTCATTTTTATCAGAGTTCGTCAGTTTCCAAGGCAAGACATTCAGTTCAGGGGTGCCTACTTTCGGTTACTTTGGAAAATCGACTGGGTCCGGGTGGCAATCGATTGTATCCGAGACAGTATTGAGCCACCAAACGTTTGAGCCAATGAAATAGATTTTTAGGTAAAGCGTATACAACGATCAAAATTTCAAAAAAACCTAAGTAGGTTAAAATCGAGGGAGGGGTGGTTTAAATCGGGGGGGGGGGGAGCATATCGGCGAAAATGCGTTGTAGGACTTCACAATTTACGTTAACAAGAAGAAACTAGGGTTCCTCTTAAAGAAGCGTCGCAGAGCCTTGTGTAAACAAATATTATACTTGTGACCTATGAACGGGGTGAAGAAAGGGATATGGTATGGTGTTGAAGATCACTTTGCGGCGCTGTTCGCGGGAAAATTACGGAATTTGGATTCTTTTCTCGCCAAAATCGAAGTCGAGATGTTCCTCCAGCTTCTTAGGAAATAATGCATATTTGCAGTTTTAACCAAAAGGAGCTATATTATATCCTATGCAATGAAATAGAATACATAATAAAGTACATGCTAGTCTTACTCGATATACGAGTAATTTACGAGTAATTTCAAAAGGTTAAAAAAAGTTCACAAGAGCTGAGCAACTATTATATCCATCCATAAAAGTGACGGTAGGTGCAAGATAGTGGGTTATGCCGAAAAAATGTATTTTGTTTGAATATTAGACATGGGAACGCCGCATTTGATTATGACGGAGTAATTTTTTCCTATATAGTTGATGACGACTCTTGTTTTTTGGCGCGTATACGTAGTATACCGCCTTTGCGATCGTTTCGACCCCCCCCCTCGATACAATAACCGAGTCCCCTAGTTCCTTACCGAAAAGTGACTACCGCGAACTTCTGAGATTTTCCAAAGCGTGTAAAAAGTTTACTAATCCGTCAATAATAATGATTAAAATTTGTTTCTCATTCTGGGGCTCGCTAGTTTATGTGTAATGAATACCAAGAGTCTACGTTTCTTGGTTTTTTTTAAAAAAACCTTAGAATGGGGCGCGCTGATTTAAAATATGCATATATAAGCGGAAGCAAGCGAACTGATTCGAGGATGGCTGACCAGTTCGGCACTCCTTGAATGAGAATTTCACTCACTCCGTTTTGTTCACAACGTTGCTTTGACATATCTCCACAACACTGTTATCCTTTTCAAAAGTTGGTACTCCTTGCTCTGATAGCCGGGGCCACCAGGATAGTGGTAAGTGCAATCTGTGATGAGCCTCGAGACTCATTAGACCATTTGCTAAACGTGGCTCATACAGGAGTCCACTAAGCCCTCTCGTCCCCACGCTCCTGATCACTGCGTCGGCGTCACGAAGAACAATGGGCCTTGGGTCCCAACGCGGCCGATACCCGTACCCCAATTACTCACGCTTCATTAACCATTTCACCGTCACGCTAGGATTCATCCAATTTTCAAAAAAAATTGTTTCGCATGTATTTAGCAATTTTTTCCTTACTCTCCGTTAAAACACAAATAAAAAGAGACCTCATTCATAAAAATCGGCCGAATAGAAGAGAAGTTACAGTAATCGAAATCCGAAGAAATCAACAAAACCTCGACTCCTCGATACGAAAAATAAAATGAAGGGGAAAAAAAGAAAGTATAAATTACAATTAAATATAATTGACCTCAAAATTTGACAAACAATTCATTTATATACCTAACGCTGAAAAAACTGGGAGAAATTACAAAAAATTTGCCTCTTGCAAGGGGCTTCTTTGTAAGAATTTTGACCTGAAGACAACGGTCGAATAACAGCAGTACTCCATACAATACACGGTGTGCCTGAACGAGTTAAACATTTTTCATACGTCCAAATCGAAAAATCTTTATATTTTTAACTACAATGTTTCTTGAATCGTTTAAGCAAAAAAAAAAAAAAAAAAAATTCCGTCGAGATTCTGGAACGCAAAGGCGCTTTAAAAGTATTCTGGGGCTATAATAGCTAAATCACCGGTAGTAAATTCGTTATATTATTAAAAAGAAATTGACTCCATAGTTTAATTCCTTAGTTTCTTGAATACGATTATTTTAAGCACTTAAACATTTATACCACCAATTTTAGCCATGGGGTGATTTCCTGAGAGCCGATAATATCACGAATTTCTCATAGAACCCCTCAACAGTGGCTTGCTTTTTTGGCAGCCGATTCGGCCATCGAACCGGAGTTTAAATGGAAGCTGATAATAACCCAAAGCTCTGAGAAAAATTTTGAGATGAGTATAAGAACGGTTTGTTGTAAGTAGCGAGGAGAGGCGGGCAAAGCGGCTAAAATCCTATCTAATTTTTACAGTTTTTCTGTTGAATTAATGTTGCCGCGGGCTTCTGACTGTCCACACATAGTTCTGTTCAGCATATCGATACATAAGTATTTACATTTTACATACGTAGAATCTAATTTTCACGTCGGGGAGTTGACATATTTTGATTTTTTCGATTTTATACGGAAAATTGATGGTTTTTCGGGATTGAAATTATTATTGTTTCATGAAAAATAAATGCACCCAAAATGACTATAGCATATTGATTCTTACACATTTGCACTCACAAAATTGGTTGGTAAATTCAACGAGTGGGTGCATCGACCTGGTATATCAAGTTTCTGCAATTTTTTACGGCAAATCAGTAGATTTTCGGGATGTAGATTGCTTACTTTCAATTCATGAATGAATAAAGCAACGACATGGTTGAACTTCTTTGCATGGAAAGACGTTTAAAATAACAAAATCAAGACGTATTTAATGCAATTGCATTTATATCGAGTCAATTTCTTTTCAATAATATAACGGGATTTTTACTACCGGTGATTTGGGTATTTTAGCCCCAAAATACCTTTAAATCGACTTTATCTTCTAGGAGTTCGACAGAATTTTTCCTTTCTTCGCTTAAATTATTCCGTAGCACTTTTCTTCAAGAATCTGATAAGATTTTGCTTGAGGCAGATCAAAAAACTTAAATTCGATCGAATAGCTTTCTACTTTCACAATACACGGTCTCGTCAAGGTGCGTCTTTGACCTCGCAGTGTTGGATCGTGAATTCTCTTTTTATGCTGTTTGCCTATTTTGAAATCTCTGTAAATGAAAACTAAAGGGGTTGATATGTGCGAGTTAATGACGCGCCTTATCAACACATTGTGTTGGAGTTCACTGCTTGTTTTTACTTCTTTTTAATTGCGTTCATGACGAGCAGAGTTGATATGGAACAGAAATAAAGTATTGTGGGAGGTGAAAAACAATTCAACATGGAAAAAACAAGCAAACTTGTGGCACAATTTGAGACTTGAAACAAGTTTTTCCGTCAATTTTTACGAGATGAGTGGCGGATACGAAAATGTAAAGGAGCAAAAAAATACTTAGTTTTTCAGCCTGGAGTTGTGGTCTCCCAATTGCCAACAAAGTTCAAAATATTTTTGGCATCGGAAGATAGTAATTTCTGAATGATCCCGTCATCTTCGAATTTCAAATTATAACCTGGATCATTCATCGTTACGAAGCTGGTTCCTACAGGAGACAGAGTCATGTAAAACTTCAGAATTCGCCTTCTCTCTTGCCTAGCATAAATGTATTTTCCAAAAAAAAAAAAAAAAAAAAAAAAAAAAAAAAGAAGTTAAAGTTAAGTTAAAAAAAGGCAAGTTATCTGCATCATTAAAATTTTAGGATTAACGAGCAATGGTATTCATACGGTAAAAAAAGTTAGGGTCAAAAAATGTCAAATCCATTTATCTTTCTGGGAAATCTGCGTTGTAAAATTGACTTCGAACATGGAAATTTTTAGGGCATATTACACTGACCTCAAGGCCTCGATTTAGTTTAAGCACATGAGTACAAAAAAGTCATCTTACCGTAGAAAGTAAATTCATGACGATTCTCTGAAAAATGGAAAAAGTGACTTTATGCACTTTCAAACTTGCATATTTCAATATTCTCATTACTATCCCACGCGTGACGTCAAAAATAAAACCAAGTCGTGTCTGCGTGTGTATGAACAAAGTAGAGGTTGATTGATGGGTCTTTGCGTGCGCGAAATATATGGAAATCAAAACGTCTTAGAGACCGGTTCCAATGATGCCTATTCTCTCTGATAATTTCTATCTCATAACTTGCACAACTGGATTGCATTTTGCAAAAAGGAACCACTAGCATTGCGATGATGCTAAGATTGTGCAACTTCATCCTTTGCAATAAAATTGCGGAAATTGTAAAAAACTATGAAATTTAGATGGTAATTTTTGTATTAAATTTACAGTTTTCAGCGAGTAAAATAGAAACTATTAAAGGATAATCGGGTTTTTCCTCCAAGACAAAAGAAGTTGCACAATCTTAGCAACATTTCAATGCTAGTGGTTCCTTTTTGCAAAATGCGATCCAACTGTCCTAGCAAATTCTGAAAGTTTGATTTTTTTACAATTTTCGGTTCTTAAACTTTTTTAAGCTTGCATTAAAAAAAAGTTGGTATTCTGCTAGGATGGAATGACTGATTTTCACTCAGCTGACTCGGTTCATGCCGTGAAGCGACCAAACTGTTGGAGATTTTTAGGCGAAGTGCGTAAAAAGTTCAGCTTAAAGCTGATATCTCATTACAGAGGGAAAACTTGCCGCCAGCGTCCGGTTGCCCAAGTCTCGGGCTAGTTTTCACGCCCTCTCGAGCTTGGTAGCAGGAAATTCACGAGGCTGCACTGCACTGAGGATTGACCCAACAAGGCCGAAACACGTCTGGAGTTGCCTTCCTGAATGGACGTAACTAGTGTTGCTCCACACAGCGTATCTCTTTGAGGGAAAATTGTGCTTGTGTGTGTGAGCTTGTTCCCTCTGTAATGAGATATTAGCTTTAAGTTGAACTTTTTACGCACGATGGCCGAAAAACTCCAACAGCCCGTCTTACGACCAATGTGTTTACCGCAATCAGTTTGACCAAACAGTTGTAATACACTAATTAAATTGAAGAGTTTAGAGAAGGAAGGCAAAGAGAGGAGGAAGAGTATGAAAAAGATAAAAAGAGGAAGAAGAAATTAGAGAAAGCTAAAAAGAAGAATATGAAAAAAGGAATTTCTTTTTATTTATCATTTTCTCCCACCTCTCCTTCATGTTCTTCTTCTCCTACTTTTCCTTCATCTTCTTCTCCTTCTTCGTCTTCCAATATCCAATGACAACCTATATTTCTTAGCCGACACGGATGGCAGGAGTTCCTAAGGGAGGATTTTGCATCAATATCGCGATTCAGGGTTGCCGTAGAATTTAGAGAATAAAATTCCCTGACATTCCCCCCGACACATTTTGGCGAAACGTCTCGACAATTGAAGATATGCCAAATGGTTAGAAGGACATGATGAGAAATAGTTATTAGGAAAAATTTGTTGTTCGAATCGTCGAACCTATTCAAGAAAGCAAATAAAGCTAACATAACGATTTTCCACTATTATTTTAGTCATTTTCCTTGACATTTCCATGTTTTCCCGGTATTCCGGACTATAGCAATCCTGAAGCTCACGTGTTTTTTTCCCTTCTTGCTTCGTTTTTTTCCGCTTACTTTTCTTACACCTCTTTAAGTATGACCCTTTTGATTAATCCCGTCCAATTATAGAAAGTATCGGATCTGAAATAATTGCATGGATCAGGCAAAGGTGAAGTGAACAGTTTCCCTTCCTCCTCTCGACTGCTTGGGGAATGTTAAGTTTTAACTCCGACTTACACTGAAAAAAAAAGCTCCGGCCGTGAAAACCGTACTTCCGGGGAATATAGACATACCGTCCGCGTTCCGAGCTCAGAGGCCAAAAGTTCCAGGCGTAGCACCCGGAGCAATCAAAGCTACGGTCCCAGTGCCCGAAACTTTTGATCTCTGAGCCCGGAACGGACGGTGTGACGGTATGTCCATACAGCCGGGAGCTTTTAAGCGCTCAGCCGATAGGCAGCGCTTTTTGATTTCGACTTGCCTCTGAGTACTAGTATACTAGTGCTAATGAGTTTAAATGGCGCACCAGCTCATCGATGTGTAGGCTTTTGGGGGGGTCTATTTTTAAAATAAATAAAGCTGTGAAAACTGTATTTTACGCTTTTAACGTAATGCGCAGGTAGTTTCGATCGTTTGTCTATAAGAAAATTTCTTAGCGGTAGAGTAATTCTTATCGAAATTGATCGTTGAACACAAATGAAGCCTAAAAAAACGCGCCTGATGAGCTCAACGATGAGCTCATTTTCGGGAAACAAAAATACGCGTTTCCCGTTTCCTGGGTAACCTTTGTTTGCTATCAGCTGATGCTTTATTTCCATTTCCCAGGCAAGTCGACGGAGTTTATACTTCCTTTCTCCACTAAATACATTTACTAACACCTGCGCGCTTTTCTAATACGACAGTATTAGAACTTTCCCGCTTGTTTTTTGAGTGTGCTAATTTTGTTTGTGGCTGCAGGCTACTTCTCGCGGCGATTGCCTGGCAAATGTCTCGGTCCTGCTTATCGATGAGGTCGTTGAATTCATGGGTATCAAGCAGTCGACGCGGAAGTCGGCGGACACCTCCTCGGGAAAATGTAAATCCGAGCCCCTCGGGGTACTTCAGAAGGGTGTTCTCCGGCCTCTCTCGGACAGAGAGTCAAATGATGCGAACTCAAACCCAGCCGAATGTGCCGTACACGTTACCACTACCATTCAGATGGAAGAAAATCGATAAAATCAATATAAATGGTGGTGACGTCATCGTTTGCGGAAGGAACCAGGCTATCCCTACCTTCAAGACCCACTGGTTATTGGCGGTGAACGGGTGAGAACCACAATACCCTTGCAACATGGCCAATGTCTCAGTTGCGTTGGTCACAGAATCGTGTTTTGACGCTTGATTCTTGTAGACTAGTTAAAAATATTCTGATCTGTCCAAACAGCAACTTCCTGCGTTTAATGCTACCTGAGATATCATGCTTTGAACGTATAGGTTTGCGAAGTCATCCACCGTTGCAGTGACACCCTTGGTTTCTTCCATCTTGTATTCATTCAAGTTCCACGTTGAGTAACCAATGCAAATGTGTGTCTCCCTGACTGATGAATGCAGGTGGAAGAAACCAAAGGTGTCACTACCGATGTGGATGACGTCACAAACCAATTTTTCCGAAGCATGATATCTCGGATAATATTGGACATAGGAAGTTGCTAGTTGGACAGATCTTATTATTTGTAGCTAATCTACAAGAACGCATCAAAACACGATTCCGTGACCAGTGCAACTGACCGATTAATACACCCATAAAAATATGAAAGAAAGATTTATTTTATAAATGTGACTTTGTATCAAAGTTTCCACTAAATACTTGGTGCTGTACACGAATTGGTTGTATCTACGTCAAAAGGAAATGCACAAAGTTCCACTTAGCAAGTCCAGGTGTCACAATATCATTACCGTTAGGTATGTATAACGCACCCATTGAATCGGTTCACAACAGCGACAGATAGCTGTGTCAAAATCAGCCGCGCCAGTAGCCCAAATATTGAGCGTACGACTGTGCGTCGATACCACAAGGCAAGACATAGCCCTATCTTAACCCTGCATTATATCACATTTCAATGTCCAATAATTGGCCCGCATGCGGGCAGAGAACAATTTCTTTAACCTAAAATAAAACTTAGTCACTTATGGTCATTCTGTGTAAACTTGCTACGATGTTACAGGATAAACTTAGGTTAGGAGAGTATTTCTATGCGGTGCAGAACGACCTCCTCTCCAATTAAAAACCGCTGACATTTTTTCGCGTTAATATCTTTGAACTAGGTAATGAAACAGAGTAAACTTCATTTATTATTTGCGATTTGTTTCCTGCCAGTGGCCCGCGCTGTCAGATCGATCAAGAGTCAAATGGACGTATTTCTGCCGAACGGATCTATGTGCGTAGCGGCGTGAGCCCTGTTACGCATATATTCTCATGGGTCTAAAGGTTCATGTCTGAATGCATACATAATTCCATTTGGAAGAAGTATGTCCAAGTAATCTAGTTGAAGTAGAATACTCACTGGAAAAAAAAAAAAAAAAAACACATTGGATCTAGAGTCCAGACTCTTAAAAACATCGACAAGAAAAAATGCTCTTGATTCAATCAGATTTAAGCTTCAATCAAGAACCAATAGCCTCTTAATTTGAGCGGATTTCCTTTTGATTTAAGCTTAAATCTGATTGAGTCAAGAGTCCTTTTTCTTGTCAATGTTTTCAAGAGTCTGGACTCTAGATACAATGTGTTTTTTTTCCAATGAGGGAAAAATTAAAATACTTACAAGTGCCCATCCAGAGCGATTTACGATAGAAATAACAGGAGAATGTGAGGATTCTTACCTGGAACAAGCACAAAAAATAGAAACATTAGGCAACTGTTATGACTTGTAAAAACTGGCTTTTTAATGCCTTTTCAAGAGTCTGGACTCTAGATCCAATGTGTTTTTTTCCAGTGCTGGTTGAAGTAGCGTCTAATTTTCGCTCGACCAAGTTTCGGTCTGAAGGACACGTCTTTTATTATCATCCGATTTTGCGACAGAATAATTGTAACAAAATTGTTTCCTGATTCTAGTTACGAGCTGGTACACGTCATCAAGAATGGAATTTACTTATATACCGGTCAAATAACCATTGACAAGAGGCTTGACTTACCGGGAAAGTACGATTACATTGATTGCAATAATTGTAAAAACCTCGGCAACAGAGGTGAGTTCATGTATATGTTATGGTTGATTAATTCCTGAGAAGTACCATAAAAACGAGATATTGGAAAAGCTATGAGAGCACTCTCCGACATTCGATGAGGTACCGGATAAAATCCTCCGTTACATGTTTTTTCCTCAAAATTTTCCGTATACTATAATTTATACATCGAGAATTACGGAATTCTACTTTTGAAGAAGATGTAGGTATTCTTGCGTACATACATACATATAAGTCGCTTTACAGCACTCCCTCGCGCTCTACGACTCCTAACCTCCACTGCTCTCTTTCAAACCACGAATCTTGGGGGATCGAAACGTTTCCGCTTCAATCCCTACCCTCCAACCTTTCATAGGGCGCCCTCTGCGTCTTCTCCCAGGAGAAACCCAGTCAAGGACCTTCTTCGGCAACCTGTCTCCTGCCATTCTCTGGACATGACCATACCAAATGAGTTGTTTTCCATAATGTCATGCACGATGGTCTGCTTGGCATCCATGATCTCCCGTACCGTCTCATTCCTGACGCGATCCTTTCTGAAAATACCAGCGGATCTAAGCCAGAAGTCCATCTCTGTTGCCTCTAAAACCTCCCGAGTCCGCTGTACGTAACATTATTCGATATACGATTATACTAGCGGAATGCCCGTGATTGGAGTCACGGGTCTAGAGGCCGCTAAAATATCTATAACCCCTAAAAAATGGTGGTAGGGAAGCAAGACATGCCATAAAAAAAATGATAAAATCGATAAAAAAAAATGAGTTGAAGGGAGTGGGTAATGGAGCTAGAAAAATGAGCCGGGGAGAGGGGGGAGGTAGAATAATTTTTTTTTTTTTTTTTTTAATGAGTGAAATAACAACAATCTACAGACACAGTATTTGGTTGAGCTGGCAAAAAAAAAATAGAACTAACCTAGCAATGATTTAGGGAAAAAAAAAATTGAAGTAAAACATCAGCTGATAGCAAACAAAGGTTACCACGGAAACCAAGGAATGGACTTTCATAAAAACAGATTAGTGGAAAACAGCGTAAGTAGGGCACTTACGTTAATTACCGTTTATAAGTAAACGGTAAATGTGATTTAACCCAAAATCTATACAGTTCTTCATCAGGTCAAAATGCACAAAGTTACAAAATTTGAGATAGCTAACGTAAATCTAACGATAGTTATCGAGAACGAAAGAATTGCTGACATAGATCCGGTAACTATTATAGGTGGGATTATACGATTATATTTATGATCATTATATACGTATATATATTATACGATCATTATACGATTCTTACGTAACATCAATTCAAAGTCGAAAATACAAATATCGTAACTTGCGAGATTTGTATTGCAGAAGATCATAGTAATGAGTACATTTTGATATTCCGCTCAGGACCTGATTTCTAAACTTCACGTTCTGTTAATAGCGTTCTACGCTTCTCAGAGGGGATAAATAATGTGGTTCCTTATTTCCTATCTTGTTTACTGGTCTATCACCTGAAAAAAAGACTCTTAGATGCAAAGCCCAGACTCTAAAAAAATTTGACGAGAGAAGATACTCTCGATTCGACAGGATTTTTGCTTGAATCGAGAGCCGCGCCTCTTAATTTAATCGGATTTTCTTTGACCCAAGTAGAAATATCCGATTCAATCAAGAGTACTTTCAATACTTCGATACTCACAATGGACCACTAGACAAGGTACGAATTTAAGCAATCTGATACATGTTTCTTAACCAGAATTTCACGTAGAACACGATTCGCGCATCGAAAATTACTGAAACTAACTCCTAACGAAGATATTAACGTTTTTATTTCACACTGGTTACGAGGAATTTGAACTGCCCGCTCTCAAGAAACTCAAAGCTCTACGTGAGTCAAATCGCCCACTACAACGGTTTCAGCAAGCTTCTCAATCGAGCAATGTTCATTTCCCATCATGTGTTGTTCAAACTATTAGCAATTTGCTATAACTGAGCCAAAGCGTCAAGATTGAGGTTGCCAGATTTTTATATCGCAGAGACTGTCATGATAACGTTTAGCGCGCGATGTGAATCACGTAGAGCATTGAGTTTTCATGAGCGGGTGGTTTGAATTCACGCATTAAGAATCATTAAATATCTTCGTAAGGAGTTAATTTCGGTAATTTTCGTTGTGTGCATCGTGTTTTACGTAAAATTTTGGTTAAGAAACATGTATCAGAATGCTGAAATTCGTACCTTATCTAGTGGTCCATTTCAAGAGAAAATGCCAACTAGTCTTCTTGAAGAAATTTATTATACAGGGTGGCCCAGACCTACCGTACCAGGCCTTTTTTTCGGTTAATTTGGGTCGCACGAAGTCCAGGATCGCGGGGATGAATAGGGAATCGACCCCAAGGAATCCGAATTTCATGGTCCCAGAGCCCCCCTGGCGTCCCTTGGGGGGTAAAAGGGGGGTCCGTACTTCAAAAATCAGGGTCAATGTCAAAATTTTGAAATTATTTCATCGGAATCAGAACGTACGAAAAATTTTAGCTTAAATCGACACCAAGAAATCCAAAATCGGCCCACCCGTGTCGATTTAAGTTGAAATTTTTCGTACGTTCTGATTCCGATGAAATAATTTCAAAATTTTGACATTAACCCTGACTTTTAAAGTACGGACCCCCCTTTTACCCCCCAAGGGGCGCCAGGGGGGCTCTGGGACCATGAAATTCGGATTCCTTGGGGTCGATTCCCTATTCATCTCCGCGATCCTGGACTTCGTGCGACCCAAATTAACCGAAAAAAAGGCCTGGTACGGTAGGTCAGGGCCACCCTGTATAACGAGTGGAAAATACCAAAGTCGCAATCGGAGGAGTGCATTTTCCCAGTCTCTCCATTGTTTCCTGAGCTAAATTCACCGCATACCGTACCAACATTAACACAAAATTTGTGTTGGTTTGTGTTTCACATCCCATATTACCCTAACCAAAAGTAACACAAGAGCACAAATATTTTCATCAGTACATGCAGTGGGCTGTTGAAATTAGTAGACAAAGCCATAGACAAAGAAGACAACAGGGATATGGAGGGATCTTGTTAGTGAGAGCGGATGGTTGCAATGGGCAAAGATGGTAGGTAATAGACTAACTAACGACAACCTACGGGAGACCCGATGACTTTTCCGTAATTTTCTCCCTTAATCCATAATAACCACTCATTTCAACCAATAGGATCGCTCCATATACTTCTTATGACATCTTCGTCTACGGCTTTGTCTATTAAATTCAACAATCTACCGCAGATGTGTGACCCGAACTGCGGTAGCTGGACCGCAAATTTTTGGATGTGCGATCCGAAAAATTCAGAGATCCGTATGACCTGAACTTCGGACAAGGTGGCATGACCTGTAATAAAGAAATGAAATTTTGGAAATTTCAGTAAAATATTTTATGAAACACGAGGCTTGAAAATATTTCATATTTTTTAGGTGCTAGAGTATGCATCCCGCACTTAAACACACGAAAAAGAATAATTTCTTTTTTCGATTTTCTCCCTCAGTTTATAGGAATCACCCATTTCGACCATTAGGATCGCTCCATACTCCCTATACAGGGTAATTCAAAAGTCACGCACCACTACTACTGGCCATGCATTCGAGATTTTTGAGTTGTACCCCGCCGTCCTTCCCCTAAGGGGCTCAAAAATAGAAAGTACCTAAAAAAGTTTCCCGAGGAAAAAACGTCATAAACCGCAAATCGATATCTTAATTAGAACTAAAGTTAAGGCCAGCGGGCCGATTATTGAAATTGATAGACAAAGCTACAGACATAGAAGACAAAAAAGATAAGGAGGGATCATATTAGGGGAGGCGGTGATTGCAATGGACAAAGAAGGTAGGTAATAGACTAAGTAACGGCAACCCACGAGTTACCCGATAGTTAGTCCATCATTTTCTCCCTATGTCTATAAGAATCAATCTTTTCAACCAATAGGATAGCTCCATACTCCCTATGTCTTCTTTGTCTATCAATTTCAATAATCGGCCCACAGTGGTGCGTGACTTTTGAATAACCCTGTATCTTCTTTATCTATCGCTTTGTCTATCAATTCCAACAATCAGCCCGCAGGTCCATGAGTGGATATTTCTCTTTTTCCCGATAAAGGTATCTCCGGTGATGATCTCGCTGCTGTCACGGAAAGGGCGTTCAAATGGCTCTTTAAATACACGTTTTTCGACTCTGACTCCTGCTCGAGTTACCACTGGGTCATGTACTGGGTGTCAGGGAGTCCCCCGACTCCGCGACGATCCCTTCTGCCGGGCTTCAGCAAGCCCATGCATCCTTACTGCCGGCTCAACACCATCCTCACCGACCCGGAACCAAGGGAGGTGCCGTTCGACCAGATCAACTTCGCCTTGATCGGAACTATGAATGCTTATAATCTCGGCTGGGGCCCCAACACTCGGGCATCCTGATCTAGACTCGTTTCAAAGGAAAAGGACCGGATCACATTTGGATTGCATTTTGCAAAAAGGAACTAGAAGAATGGAGATGTTGCATGTATGAGGAATCTGCGATTTGACTGTTGATTCGTACGTAAAAGTTCGGTAGAAACAAGATGGTGCCACTGGTTTTCTCTGAAATCATCTCCCAAGCTCAAAAAAAGCTCTCAAGTTGAGGCCAAAATGGAGGGGATATCCCACGCTATACTGAGAGTCCACCTCTACATCGAGACAAACTCTCCATGCGAAGATGGGGAGTAAATACATTGACAGGGCTCCCACTTTATTTGGGGACTCTAAAACTGAAATCACGGCAACCCTGCTAATGTATTTGCTCCCTATCTTCGCATGGAGAGTTTGTCTTGATGTAGAGGTGGACTCTCAGGGTAGGGTGGGATATCCCCTCCATTTTGGCCTCAACTTGAGAGCTTTTTTTGAGTTTGGGAGTTGATTTCAGAGAAAACCAGTGGCACTTGTTTCTTGCGAACTTTTACACAAGAATCAACAGTCAAATCGCAAATTCCTCACACATGCAACATCTCCATTGATACCTCCCCATTGTTGGCATCAAAATCGACTAAACTACTCGTAACTCATGGTGTAATAGATCGTATCTCCTCTTAAGAGATTTTGATATCCGATTTTTCGCCCCACTTGGACAAAAATCACTCCCTTGAAACATTTGCCTTCATAGAATAATAAGGTCTCTTTTCTGGTGGAGGATCACATTTACAGATTTTTATTAGGTATTCGATTATAGTCTGTATACATACTGGTGTTTTTTTCACACACCTTTGCTTTCGCCTTGCAATAACGAGCTTGCTTCTCATTTCCCTGTTGTATCAAAATTTTATTTATTATTAAAGAGATGTAACTTCTTTCTGATGCTCCTTTTTGTTTTTGTACTTTAAAAACTTATTTCCTTTCATAAAACTTAAATTCTACCGTTCTATATAATACGTTTACTTTAATAGCGATTCACGCGACGTTAGAACATAGTCGTATTTTGTTTGACGCAACAACTCTGGACCTCTCGTAACAATCGTATTTTGTTCGGATGTTCTTTATGTTAAGGGGCGTTGCCTATTTGTACTCGTTTATTTTTTGCACAATTTGGCAACGTTTTCGCAACATTGTTTCGAAACAATTGGAACGTCCTTAAAGCTTGTTACGATTGTTGTGTGCATTTGTTAACAGGATTTCTGACCTCACTTCTGGCTGCTTTGTTCTCATTGGTTGTGAAAAGCGATGCAAATAACACAAAATCGGTAACAGGAAACAATTGTTGCGTCGAACAAAATACGACTCATCAGTTTTTGAGTACACAAACGCAAAACTGATCAGATTGAGCAAATCTTGCAAATGGCGTCATTCGAATAGTTTCTGGGATCAATAAGGTAAATTACGAATGCTTCCATTTTCTTCACGAGTTGATTTCTGAACTGATCGTCAGGTGAGTGGTATTTTTAGTAAAATTTGGAATAAGATGAAGTTACAAAATACCTCAGTTCGTACTTTTTCTTGGATCCCATTCTGCGATTTCACTGCGTTCAAAAATATGGGTTGACCTGAATATTTGGTGACCTAATCACGGACACCCATGAAAGATTTCACGATAGAGGATACTGATGGAACATTTTAGGTGTCAAGCTGGAAAAAGGAGGATACCTTTGATATGAAAAATTCTGACATGGCAAAAGTTCGCACGTTTTGTTTTAAAAACATCCAGCGATAGACAAGAGCGGGTCACTGACACCTCTTCTATCCGGGCTTTATTTTTACTTTCTCGCTCCCCTAGTATTTTTTCCTTTGCCAGTTGAAAATGAGATTGTGGAATACTCCGAGATGTCTAGGTTTTTGTTTCGTGGCGTGTTCCCTAGACGTTAGTTCCAATGCGATACTTTCCCATTAAGTTGTTTTTTACTGGAGGTTTTTTTTTTTTTTTTTTTTTTTTTTTTTTTTTTGTGTTACACATACCAACGCTAACAATCACTATTGACATGAAATCAACGTCATACTTTTTGCGACACATATGATTTATTTCATGATTTCTGCGGTCTATGATACTGTGACCGACTCAGTAAATTTAGGAAATCTCGGAGGTATTGCGTCGCGCTGTCTTTCATGCTTGTCCTTCAAAAATTCCGCGTATGTACACAATACGTGCCAGTCTGTGGCATGAACAACCAGACTCGTTGGTGACAAAAATTTGTCGGTGACATTGACTTTCGGTTTCTCTTAGGACTCCTCATCTGCTTTCACGACAAATAAAAAACACTTCTTTCCCTCTCGATAGACCCTCACACAGAATAACAGGGACAGGAAAAAAATGCAAACAAAGCTCTTCGGTTGGCAGAGTCTGCCAAGAAACGAACGATGATTTGTTACGCGTTCCAATGAGTTCATACCAGAGATTTCTGGAAGTATGTTTTCCACCATTAGTAGTTGATGAGAATTCCTGTTCTACAATGGAAAGCACCGATGGCTATGACGTAATCACTATTTCTTTGTCTTTAGGGTGTGCTTTATATCCAGTTCTCGTTCTTAGCAGTATGTTACCGGTTAAAAACGGTCATGATACGAAACTATTTGTATATCCGCATTCAGGGAAAAAGGGACGGAAAAAAGTGCAGACGAAGCGGTTCAGTTGGCAAAGAATGTCAAGAAAAAATTAATTTTATACGCGTCCCGATGTATTCATATTAAAGTTACAAGTAAATTAATTTGATTAATAAATAATTCGACTCGATGAACATATATTGATTTTTTCGTTACTGTTCGCAGGGCCATAGTAGCGCTCAGGGACCCAGGTTGCTAGCGGGCCTAAGGGGCCCGCACATTTGTGGAATGCATACTCTCTAATTTGAAGGCACTTCACGTTTCCTAAAATATCCAACTCTTTTCCCTGACTTTTTAGAAATATTCCCTTACCACTGACGCTGAAATTCCCCGACTTTTCATGAAGAAGAAAGGAAGAGGGTTGATTTAAAAACAGCGTTGCAAACTTTGAAGCACCACAATTTTATACAAGTTAAAACTTGCAAACGACACAAACACGACAATTTACATGTCTGGAAAATATTGGAATACCTCCCACGTCTAAACAAAAAAAAAAAATTATAAAAAAAACTGATTAACAGCAGATAGGCATTAATATTTAGATCTCCTCAATTATTCATGCTGGGAGAATCGAATAAAAGTTACCGGACGTTTCGCTTCGATCGTCCTTACAAACACGAAGACCCCGATTGAAACCATTTTCTTTCCGAGCATCGCGCTAAACAAAAATGCGTGATACAACAATTTAAACTCCTAAGCCGCTCAAATTGCATATCCACTGAGTTGTAGGCGAACTAGGTTTCGATTTACAAACACGAAGACCCCGCTTGAAACCACTCTCTGTCCGAGCATCGCGCTAAACGAAAATGCGTGATACAACAATTTAAACTCCTAAGCCGCTCAAATTGCATATCCATTGAGTTGTAGGCGAACTTGGCTTCGATTTACAAACACGAAGACCCCGATTGAAACCACTCTCTGTCCGAGCATCGCGCTAAACGAAAATGCGTGATACAACTATTTAAACTCCTAAGCCGCTCAAATTGCATATCCATTGAGTTGTAGGCGAACTTGGTTTCGATTTCGGCCCTCACGATCTTTGAAAGGCAACAGTCAACGATGTCATCGGTGAGCATCTTTCAAGTTTCGAATTTGTGCGTGGAGAAGAGCCATTATAATGGCTTGGTTACACGCTCAAATTTCCGTCGAATTCCGATCAAAATGATGACCAAGATGGCGGTCGGGAGTTATCTAGATTGATCAGTAAAATTATTTAAAACAGCGTGTTGATTCAAATAAGCATGAAATAAGCACGGTTGTGTGGAAATCAGATGAAGGATGAGCCCCACAGCTCTATCATCTACCATCAAATGTTTGCAGGCCGCAGAAATTTGATGGGAGATGGTGCGCACCAGTCACCATTTGATCGGAAATTGATGGAAATTTGAACGTGTGACCAGCACACAAGGTTTTGATTCTTTATAAACCGTTTTTTGTGCTCGCTTGTGCGGCGCACAGTGGATCGAGTCAATTAGAGAAGTCGGACATGAAATTCTTGACTAAAACTGCAAACTTAGTTGTTAATTTCGTCACATTTTAAAGTTCAAGGAGTGCTTTGAGAGGAAAATTTCACGAGGAAACCAATGGAAGCACTGGTAGAACCACAAAGTCTTATAAAAACGGAGTTATTAACGTTGAAAGTTCATCAATTTTGTCCGACCTCTCCTATTGACTCGATCCACTATGCGGCGGTTGTATTTGCCCTGCGGCTCCTGCTATGAGTCATAGCTTATGACTACGTTATTAAGACTCGCGCAACGACTTGAAAAAATGCCGCCATTTGTTGAAGCCCGCGGAAATTTCATTTCCGTAATTTTTTCAAGACGTGATTAAAAACCACTTTCCTGCGGACGAATTATTAGGCACTTCAAAATGCAATTAATTTTTTGTGTGCTTCAATTGGACGTAATTCTATGAAACGGAACTAAGAGCCATCGGAGGAAGAAGGGAGGGAGGGGGGCGGGCTTGGATTTGCGGTTGTTAAGGAACACGATGCTCGTTCCGTCCTATACTCACAATGCTTTTCCATGGCGCTTAGTTCCGTTTGACAAAACGCGCTATCCGGGATTCTAATATCTTCAAAAGGAACTTAGATTGGCGCTCAGTTCTGTTTGACAGAAATACGTCCAATTCTGTTTATTCCCGGATATTTAAGATCTCCTCTGCTTTGAAGGGCGAACAAAACGCATCGAGTTTTATGGTAGTACGGCGAGACTCTCAAATCGAAAACTGACACGCTATACTATGTCATGGAACCGTACTCAAGAAAATAGCTGAAGCCCAGAACATGAATTTTAAATTTTTTTTTTAATCTTTTTGATGACTCTGACGCAAATAAGGTTGACCTTATAGCCTTTGTTGGAATTTACCGCTTTGGCTTATTCGTATGAAGCTTTTCGTGAGGATGTATTCGTTACCTCACCACATACCTCACATTAACGTTTTTCATTTTGGATAGAATTTTCCATGTTTCTGGTTTTAAATTGTCATGCAATG